AAGCTAGCAGTTTGTACATTCCAATGGGACTTAACCTGATCGCTAAGATGTTAGGTCAGACACAGTGAACAATGGATAGCTAAGGGCGGTGGGGACTAACGAGAGACCAGACCTGCAAGGTTCCCACTCCGCACAATCGAAGAAGTTAAAAGTCAGCCTTGTAGAGTGGCTGGCACAGCTGTGACATTTTCCTGAGAACTTCAGTTCACAGAGTCAAGGAGAAAACCCGAAGTGGGAACGTGAGCTTCTGTCACGTTTACCTGAACAAGTCAGTAGAACAGTTTACCAGACATCAATTTCAATCTTTGCAAATGATAGCTTCCATAATTTATCGCCGTAAATCATACGCAAGTGTGACTTGGCCAGAGAGATATTTCCAAGCAAAATTTTAACTTTTACTATCAAATCCTTCATAAGTCATATAAAAAATCAAATATAAATGACCTGAGATTGTGATTACTAATGCAGAATTCATATTTCTTTATTAAGGCAGCATATATGGTCTTGGAAAATATGCAGAGAAATTAATGCTGTGTCTGACGGAAAGTTATCAATACATGAAGCAGAGTTTTCCACCCTGACTACTTGAAAATGAACTAAGTCTCCAATTCATAGTACCAATATTATATCAAATTCTCTATGGGAAAATCAAAAAATCAATGGCATTCCTCTCCTGGGACCCCATCCATTCTCAGGAGGGTTTTTTTTTTTGCACATTTTTCTAAATAAATTTAAATATTTTCTGCTAATACAAAAAAAGCTAAAAATATAAATCAAGTATGAAATGTATATTCATGGTCAAGTATTCCTCAGCACAATTTTGATTTTCTCTTCTTAGCCGGATTCAGTCTGTGAACATAGGGGCATGCTAGTGAGTGCAATGATAAGTCACTGTTGTTGAGGGATAAATGTAACTGTGGTGACTGTCCCACATTCATTCTGCTGCTGTGATAAAACACTCTGACAAAGCAACTCGAGTTGGCTTACACTTCCAGCTCACAATCCATCATTGAGGGGGTCAGGGCATGAACTCAATCTGGAACTTGAACAGGAACTTGACTCTCTCTGGTTCCACTCAGCTAGCTTTCTTACATAGCCAATACCTACTGCTTAGGCATGGTACTACCAACAGTGGGACCTCCCACACGAATAAGAAACCAAGACAATCTCTGTTAAACATAGCCACAGGCCAATCTGATCCCAGCAGTCCCTTAGTTAAGACTCCCATGGATAATGCTAGTCTGTGTCAATTTGGCAGCTGAAGCTAAGACACTGACTAATTACTTGTGAGTGCTTTCTTAAAGCTACCTACAATAAAGAGTGGTGGTGATATTGTGTCCCCCAATATATTGTGCACCCTAATAAACTTATCTGGTCAGAGAACAGAACAGCCATTAGATAGACATAGAGGCCAGAAAATGGTGGCACACACACCTTTAATCCTAGCATTCCAGAGGCAGAGATCCATCCAGATCTCTGTGAGTTCAAAGCCACACTGAAAACAGCCAGGCATGGTGACACACACCTTTAATCCCAGGAAGTGATGGCAGGAAGCAGAAAGATATATAAGGCGTGAGGACCAGGAACTAAGTTTGTTAAGCTTTTAGGCCTTTAGCAGCAGTTCAGCTGAAATCCATTTGGATGAGGACACAGAGGCCTCCAGTTTGAGGAAACAAGATCAGCTGAGGAACTGGTGAGGTGAGGTTAGTTGTGTCTTGTTCTGCTTCTCTGATCTTTCAGCGTTCACCCCAATACCTGGCTCCTGGGTCTGATTTTTATTAATAAGACCTTTTAAGATTCGTGTTACAAAGAGTTTCTCATTTCTTTACTATGGGCTGTTAACCAGCTGGGTGGCTGTCATGGTGTCTTGCATCATCACCACAGACATGTGAGTTATTTGTTCCACCTGGAAATGTCACCCTGTAGCTTCAGCTATTTGGGGTCCATGAAAATCATGTGCTATGTTTTGTTGCTTCTGTATGTGATGTTTGCTATGCTGTGATGCAGCTGGTGAGATGTGTCTCATGTGATCTCCCAACCTCCCACCTCCCAACCACTCACCTGCCATTTGTGCATTTTCTGAGAGCTTCAGTGCATTAAACCTCTTCCTGTTCTTGTGTCTTTGGCAGCCTTACAAGAGTGACTAAGTCACAACCAAGCAGTTCTAAGGCCTTCCACATTATGTCCCACCCATCCAGCTGTTTTGCTCTGGGGCCATTCTGAGTCCCAGGCAACTCTAACAGCCTTGCAGCATAATGGATATAAAACCAGAGTGGAAGTGCTTCCTTGGCTTCTTCACATATTGGTAGGGCAGAATACCCACACGGAAGAAACTTAAGGAAGAATGGGCTTATTTTGGCTCACAGTTTGGGGGCACAGTCCATCATGCGGAGAAGGCATGACAGGAGGACCTGAGGCAGCTGGTCATCCTGCATCCAGAGTCAAGAAGCAGAGAGAGTCAAGGGCTATGTACAACTTGCCTTCCCCCTCTGTATTCAGTTCAAGACCCCACCATTGAATGGAACTACCTTAATTAAACCAGTCTAGAAACCATCTCTCAGAAATGCTCAAGGACTTGCTCCTCAGGGATTTTTTTTCATTCTGTTCAGTTGACCATCAATATTAACCATGACCAGTGCTTTCTTCTTCCTGAGGTACCCTAGAGAGGATCAGAAAGGAAACCCCCAAGCCCCCCTCCCACTTTACTCCCATCAGTTTGTTCTCCCCTCTGTGAAACATGAGATTCCAGTTTTGTTATATTCAGTGTTCTCCATATTTTCCTTCTATACTATTTCTACCCCGAATGTTTTGGGCAAGAATCTTGTTATTGAAAATTCAATGCTCTTTTATTCTCCTTAAGCCTTTTCAAGAACTATTCCACAGCCAATATTTTCTGTGTGAAGCAGAGGATTAAGGGGTTCTATGAAAAATGAAAGGTGGTTAACAAAAAATGATGAGAATAAACTTACCATTAGCTGCTCAAACTTATAAAAATAGAAGTATCTTACAATACCTTTACATTGTCAATTTAATTCTTGCAAAATTCACAAATTAAAAAATGTCCCTATTAAAACTGCAAAGTGCTCACATTGAAAGTACTTGGATGCTGCAGTAAACCAATCATATCTTTGTAAATAAGTTATCAACATTTTCCATGGGTAATTTTTTATTGTTTTCAAGATTTATAAAGTATTTTTATGAAATCAATAAATTCCTTAATTGATATTAGACAGATCTAGACTTGCACAAAGATATTGAAACTTAAATTGACTTGCTACCTAAAGTGTGTATATGTTCATTTTCAGGGAAATGAACTACAGAGTGCTCCTGTATGTTCACAGTGGATCTCTGAACTTAGGACTCTGTACTGCAATTCAGCTTAGTGGTAGAGCAAACGTAATGCTTCTTCTTACATGCTATAATATTCATTTTTGAAAAGACAAAAATAAAATTATATTTCATAGTTATTTAAAATATGTCAATAAAGAAGAAAATTAATAACCAATATACAGAAGAAGTGGGAAAATATTTTCTTGATGTAGGAGTCAGGATCACTACTTTGTGTAATTGGAAAATAGAAGGTTATTGTTGTTTGCATGCTTTGTTTCCAGAAAGTTCCATATTAATATTGTTCAAAATTCTTTAAAATGTTTTTGCTAGGTCTTAGAAAATTTTTACCAGAAAAATGAAGTAAAATAAAAGTACAGAAAGTAAATGTGAAGAATAAAGTGTTTTGTGCCTGTCCTATGATTGTACATCTCAAATTCAAAGAAATTACCTAGAAAGCATACACAAATATCTGTCTAGAGAAAAATAAGCACTTCAAGTTTAAAAATAGATGAAAGCATCATTATAACATTTAGAAAGTAAAGCAGAAGGAAAAGTAATAAACAAATACGGCCCCCTCATAGTAGGAAACATTTCAAAGTCTACATAACTTTAAAAAATGTACATGTATTATTAGTATATTATATGACTAACGATGGAAGAACATGAGAGAAGATGCTCTGGTCGGGAGAACATGTCCTCCTCTAACATTGTACACTTAAGAGAGAGGAGGAGGGAAGGTGGGGAGGTGAGAGAGGAGACAGAGGAAAGAGAAAGTGAGAAAAGAGGAGACAGAGGAGGGAGAAGACTGGACAGAGAGAAAAGAGATGCACGGGTGAGGAGATCCTAGGGAATGTGGCTTTTCAAAGCGGTGGAGACACCTGGTTGCTGGCTACGATGGTGAGGCAAATGAGAGGACAGTTTGTCACTATTCTCTTGTCTGCACAGTAGGAGCAGTAGTCCCAACAGACACTTTGTTCTTCACTATCTCCATTGTAAATTATTTGTGGCAATTTACTGAAAAGATACATAGTAAAGAAAGCTAACATCCTGTAGTTACTTCACAACCAATAGTAATTCTTTTACTTCATGATTAAAATTGCATTCATTTTCTATTTTATCATGAATATTTAATAATTGTCAGGCTAACAGTTCCAGAATGCTGATTATTTTTTGCTTCTCAAATCCATAGGACATTTTGCATTATTTCTATCTTTTATATTTATAGATAACAATTGTGGAACAGCCCTATGCATATAAGCTCTTTGGTGACTGTGAATTTTAGAACTAGGAATCCCTGCAGGTGAACAAGGGTCTGTCTGCTTTCTGAACCTTGTCATGGCTGAATCCTCTCTGCAGCTGTGCTCCAGATAAACATAAAGATGCTGTTTTTTATTTTCTCTCTTTTTTCCTTTGTAAATTACTGTTTCATTTAGTATTAGAAAGTTTTGAGGTAGAAATAAAAATGCTTTTGTAAAGTAAGCCTGTAAGAGGCAAGCAATTACAGATATTTTTATATGGGCTAATCAGTATTCTTTAAAAAGAGTAATCAAGTGCTGTCTGCAATTACTAAAGCTGTTTGGCTTACACATACAATTAAACCTAAAAAATGTACTCACTTCTTACATTCCTGCTTCTTCTAAGAGTTGATTTTTATTTTTTCCACGATGAAGCTCAGTTTTGGAGGAATTCCAGTGCCAAGCAAACCTGGGACCTTTTTAAAGAAAAACTTCCATGGCTGTATTGAAAACCTCTACTACAATGGAGTGAACATAATCGACTTGGCCAAAAGACGCAAACACCAAATCTACTCTGTGGTAAGTTCACTCTCTCTGTCACCTGGTGCTTTGTGGACTTGGCTAAGTCTTGCCTTGCTAATCTACCCCTGCACCTCTTCACACTGTGTGTGGTAAGTCCACTATCTCTGTCACCTGGTGCTTTGTGGACTTGGCTAAGTCTTGCTTTGGTGCTCTATCCCTGTACCTCTTCACTCTGTGTTTATCTTACATGCTTAGAATTTTCATCAGCCAAGGCTGGGTATGTCGTTCAGTTGGTAGAGTGTGTGTCTAGCATGCTTAAAACCCTGAGTTCCATCCCTGTGTCCACATAAAAACAGGTATTTTAGTTATTTTCTGACTATGGCCTAACAAGAAACAGTTTAGCATTGGAAGGCTTTTTCTGGTTCATAGCATGAGACAGTAGCTTTTGTCATTGCAGAGAAAACACAGCAATAGAAGTGGGAGACTGGCTAGTGATGTATCATCAGCACTTAAGACGGAGAGTGAACAGGAACTGTGGCTGGATTTAAAACCTCAGGTGTTCTACCAAGTGACCAACCTGCAGCAAGTTCCTAACTCCTTAAGGTTCCAAAACCTTCATAAACAGACCCACCTTCTAGATACTAAATGTTCAAACGTGAGATTACAGAGAATATTTCATACCCAAACTACAATTGGCATGGTAGTGCACACCTGCAATCCCAGAATTTGGGAGGTGAAAGCAGGTAGATCAGAATTTTAAGTCACCCTCCATTACATAGCAACTCTGAGGTGAGTTTGCCACATGAGGTCCTGCCTCAAAAAACTAAAAATAAAATAAAACAGTCATTGTCCTATTATCTGACTTTATATTGGAAAAGAGCCAGCTGAGAAAGAGGCACTGCAAAGCATTTCATTGGTAAAGTCAAGTACAGGCATGCAGAGAATGTTGGTTTCTTGGCTGCGTGGGAGATTTGAAATCTATGCAGGCTAATATGGAGCTTATTTAAAAATTTCCAAGAAATGCAATGAAGGCATGGATCCCATTGAATTATGTAGCTAGGACACTGTGTGTGTACCTGTTAGTCATATTAAGTAGGGCATTTTAAATGATACTACAGTGTTGGTGTCTTAGAGGTTCCTTGTGGATCACTTGTAATCACAATGGATAAAGTCTTCACTAATTTACTAAAGTCTATTGTCCTTACACACCTTGAGTTTTACGAGGGGTCTTTAAAAATTTATCCTTGAATTTTCTTTCCTCTTTTCAATTGCTCTTACATCTCCCTGAACTCCCTTTCAAATTTACGGCCTCTTTTTCTTTATTATTAAACACACACACACACACACACACAAAAAAAAAAAAAAAAAAAAAAAAATACAAGCTGCTGAGTCCATTTATTGCTTCTCATATGCGCATCTTTTGGGGGTTGATTATTTGAGATTGGATAACCTATCAAAAGTCTCGTCCCTGGAGAAGACTTACACTCCCCCTCTCAGCAGCCATTAACTTCCTGCAGCTCTTCATCTAGTGAGATTTCCCCTATCCACACTGGCATGTCAACTGGTGTTGTCATTGTGCAGGCTTTACTTAGGCAGCTGTATTGTGGAGACTGATGTGTGCAGCTTCCCTGAAAATATAGAAAACACTGTCATGCATCAGATGTTCTAGGTATATAAATTACTGCCCTATTCTCAATTCCTGGTAATGCCTTAATATAATGGGGACTCAACAATAATATGTGCGTTTCCAGACATAATTAAGAATTTATATATTTCTTCTAGTTCTCTGAACGTTTGGTGTTACCACATGCTGAGTTCTGTTTAGTACTATTTGATCAGGATGAATGGGTCTGTTTGCCATGTAATAATAGCATTCTCTTTCTCTAATGATAACCTTATTCTGAAGTCTACTTTACCTAACTATAATGTTGGCATTTGATCTCTTTTCTTCTTGTATTGATTTCTTTTTTTGTTTTATGTTTTTTGGGACAAGATTTCTCTGTATAACCCTGGCTGTCCTGAAACTTGCTCTGTAGACCAATCTGGCCTTGAACTCAGAGATCTGCCTGCTTCTGTCTCCTGAGTACTGGGATTAAAGGCATGTACCATCACCACCCAGGAATCTCTTTTCAATATTTGCATTCTATTGTTTTCCCCCATTGTTTGGTTTTTAAGTTGTCGCTATCATTATTTGTTGTTTACAATAAAAAATTTGGGTCATGAATTTTAATTCACACAAAATTTTAAGTGGTATACTTTGTCTATTTACACTTAATCCAATTATTGATATGTGAAAGCTCAAATATCTATTTATAATTCATGTCTTCTGTTTGTTCTGTTGCTGTTTTAATTCTTTTCCTTTTAAAAATAATATGTGTGTTGAATGAATATTAGAATTTGATTTTGGAATGTGAGTGTCTGTTATGGACTATTAATTTAAGATTTGTTCCATTTGTTTATACCGTGGGATATTTGTTTAATAATGCAAAGATGTGTTGCATTCTCTTATGTTGCATTTGTTTAACTTGGTGAAGCTTTGTTACTGTGCCTGCCTAAAACAACTGATTGGTCTAATAAAGAGATGAGCAGCCAATAGCTGGGCAGGAGGGAGGGATAGGCAGTGCTGGTAGGCAGAGAGAATAAATAGATGAAAAGAAGGGAGGGAGGAGCAAGAATAGGAGAAGAGAAAGAAAGGGGCCAGTCATCCAGCAGGACAGCAAGACATGGAATAAGAAGGAAAAAAAAAGATACACAGAAATATAAAAAGGTGAAATCTCAGAGGCAAAAGGTAGATGGGATAATTTAAGTTAATCTGGCTAGAAACAATGGGCATTCATAAGTAAGCATAAGCCTGTGTGTATTGGGAGCTGGCTGGTGGGCCCCCAAAGAGTAAAACAAACCAACAACAACAAAACAAACAAACAAGGACAAAGAAAAAGCCCAACCAACTACAAGTGTCTCCCTGCATAGCTTTTGTCTGTGATTTCTCAGGTATAATGTATATATGTAACTTTTCACAGCTTCATGATTTTATCATTTGATCATTATACTTGAAATATAGAAAAGTTATCTCTTATGTCTTTTAAAATCCATCTATCCATCTCTTACATTTATTTAATTGTGCTAATTATTTCCTTTCTTTGTAATTAGAACTTTATCAGTTGTTTTGCTTTTGCTTTAATTTTCCAAAATAATTTCAAAAATTTCAAAGAAAAAGTGCTTATTGTAGTTATTCTTTTCTGGTATAGTTTAAAATTTGGAAAGAAAGCAAAGAGAGAGTGATAGGCACAAGGGAGGATGGAAGGTGGGCAGAATGACACGGGAGTCACAGAGGGGCTTTAAATCTCCCAACCCCATGTTTTAACTCTGCCCATAGTTTTGTTTTCCCTGTTTGGGGTATGAGAGTTCAACTTTCTGTGTATTGAATAGCACAGCAAGAGTCAGTTGTGTGAAACAGTACACTGTGCTGCTCCTCTGAGTCCGTGACTCTGAAAGCTGCAGAGTCATGCTTTTAGACAGGAGTCATCACTGAGCACATTTGTCACACTGACCCATTCAGAAAGGAGTTTTATAACCTTAAAAATTACATTTTTTCTTCTGTTTAAAACAATATAAAATCATTCTAATGTAATTTAATATATATCAAATCTGTACTGTTATACATAAAACCAAGATTTATTTTTGAAATATATTATGTGTTTTTTCTTCTTTATTCTCTCAAATCTCCTTTTATGTCGTTTCTATTTAGATATTTTTTATAACTATGCTTTTTAGCATATATGTGAATACATCAAATTCTCATATCTTCTTTCATCTGGGAATATTATGATTGATTTCCTTGATATAAAATTGAGAGTTGTCAGATCTTTTTATTTAGCACGTGGAAATTTTGACTCTCTTCTCTCAGTGACAGATGCATTGTCTCAGTGACAAAAGCACTAGGTTGCATTTTATCTGAGGGTGCTGTGTACTTTCTCTCTTTGATATTTTATATGAAAGTTTGTTTTTGATGTTAGAAGTTAGAAGTTTGAGTGTGATGTGAATGGCCTTGGATTCTTTGGCATTTCCTGTTAAGGTTTTTCTCAGTTACTTGAGTATATAATCTTTTTACCCTATTTGGGTATTTTACCCTATTTGGGCAAATTTCTGTCATTATATGTGGGCAGCTTTCTATCACTATATGTTGAGGTGTATAGAGACCTTTTATTTACACAATCTGCAGGCAAGGGTGGGAGTATGTGTGTGGATAACCAAAGAGATAAAAAGACAGCATAGGAGCTGCTGGAGCCAGAGTTACAGGCATTTGAAAGACCTGTCACAACCAATGCAGGTGCTGGGAACTGAACTTGGGTTCTCTGCAAGAGCCACAGACACTCAAGCACTGAGCCATTTCTCCAGGCTCTATCTGGGTATTTAATAACTAGTGTTTTGTTTTGTTTTGTTTGTCTTGTTTCTGAACTTAATCATCCTTTTGTTATAGATTACCAGGCTACTTTATTTTAGCTGTTGCTCAAACAAAATGACTTTGACATATTCTTTTCAATTGGTGATATAGATTCACCACTGTTTTATTCTTCTCATTGTTATTACATGCATCTATTAAATTTTAAAGTTTAATGTATTTGTCTTTCTGTGTGTGTGTGTGTGTGTGTGTGTGTGTGTGTGTGTGTGTGTGTGTGTGTGGTGTGTCTGTGTGCTCCTTACTAAGTAATCTAGTCGAGCCTAGTGGCCTAGCCTGCATAACTGGAGGTATAAGGCAGGAAGGAACTGAGGTCATACACGGTTCAACATGGCTTTGGCCTTGGGCAGCTGGGTGATGGAGGAAGCTGGACTTACTTTTTCCATCAAGTCCTGTGAACTGTCATCATAGGCTCCAGTCAGTTCTTGTCCTAATGGACAGATTGCAGAGGTATGGGTGTGGTTTGATTTCTGGAAGAGGCAAAGAGGCAGCTAGAGGGTTGTGGCTTTTCTTCTTTAATGATGAGATATGTTAAATTCTGTCACTAATTAAACAGAATAGCTGGAAGTGAAATTCAATAGAGTAAGGAAAGACAATA